TAAGCTATGGGTAAAAACATGTAAAAGCATAAGGAGACTTTTCATAATTTTGCCATAACAAGTTCCTAAAAAACACGGAATTCTTAGGTATAAACAAAAACAAATCACATTTTAGTTTTTGCAAAAGCACACTTCTAATTTTGGTTCTACTTCATTTAATTAGAATGAAAACTGTGGGAGAGGTGCTTTTAGGCTATGATTGCTTGTCAATTTGTTTTTTTAAAATTTTCATCAAACTTTTCATGAGAAAAATGGAAAAAACTCTCAGAAAAGCTGTTGATTTCATTTTTACTTTTTCAGTGTCCAATTGTATCCAACTGTAATTTTATTTTTAAGAAGTTTTATCAACTATTCACCCTCTCATACAGCTCCAATCACTGGCTCAATGCAACTAGTATCCATCACTATTATTATTATTCAAAATGCTAATCTCTCAACTATCATCATCGCATTTCCATCTTAAACCTATCATTTGATACTATTCCCTCTGAAAATGGAAATGGCTGAAAGAAAAGATCATGTAATCGGAGCCTTTATTCTACTTACAATTTAACATCCAAATCCGAAAACTGCACTTTTCAACCCATCCACCAAATATATATGTCTTACTTCTTACAAACTTTTTGCTTAGATTTGCAAAATCTACAAACTTTTGGTTTTTCAACAAATTTCGGTTTCTAGTGCCATAAAACAACTTCCAAAAGCAGAAATGTTCACAAACAAACACCCATTTCATTGGTCGGCGAAACAGTCTAGTGCTAACTTCTTGAAGGGTAAAGCAAAAGGGTTAAAATTGTACCTGAAGTTTTGTTGATAACCTTCTGGTCATCTTCCGAGAAAATGGGTTCCATCGGTTTCCTAACTAGGGGCGTATGTTGTTTTATCTTGGCCACACAAAAAGAATGGAAAGCCGATAAGTGAAAATGTTAACATAGCATTTATCAAAGATGATATATCAAGAAATCAAACTTCGTTACCTTGTTCTCTACTCTACATACATAAGGGCATGTCGGGCAGAAAAATTGATTAGGATGCGCCATGTGAGCCAATTCAAAGAGCAACATAGTCCCACAAGTTGGACAAAACTGCATTTTATCACTTCCTACAGCATATGGTTGCGGAAGACATAGTCTTATCAAGGAAGAAAGAATAAAGTTGGCCAAAGCTCTTACGACATATAAGAATCTAATTTGGGTACGTCTGTTTGAAATGTGAGGCAACTATCAGAAAACTATCAATAAAACAAAAAAAAAAAAAAAAAAAAAAAAAAAAAAAAAAAAAAAATTGAATCCGTAGCCAGAGTAATTAGAGAAGAAAATGAATTAACTACAAACCCAGAACAGAATCAAGTAAATAATAGTATGACCTAATGCGAACTCAAGATCTCACGCTTCAGTGTTTCTCCACCAAAATTAAACGTTCCTATAACCCTTCAGCAATAAAAAAATGATAGAACTGACTTCAGAGGAGAGAGAAACTACGTCATTGATCGTGAAACTGTGGAGGTTTTTACTATAGAATTGTCCAAGCCCCAAAACAGAAAATATAAAGTCAGAGTCACCGAATACCTGTCTTCGGTAGCCAGTGGGTGCGGAGTGAATCGCCGTTGAGTGAACTAGGTCGCAGGTGTGGACTCGGGACAGCCGGACTTGATGGCCGCCGGGCAGTGGCAGCTGCGTGCGGTCTGATCGTTACCTCCGGGAAGTGGCTGGTGTGTGCTGAGTGTGGGAAGGTGACTCACGGGCTCCAGCCGTCGGTAGTTGGAGAGTATCGCCAATCGTTGATAGAGATTGGGGAATCGGAGACGATAATTAGGGCATGCTTTCGTGCTTCATGATTTTTCTAGCCCTGTCAAACTAATGTTTTAATTGGTATCTCAAAAAAATTCTAATGTATACTTTATANTAAAATAATAAAATTTTATAAACTTTATAGTGTATATTTTGGCTTTTTTCATTTAATTTATATTCTCCTGTTTATTTTCCTGTTTAATCCCGAATTAAAAAAGAACTCGACGAATGGTGAAAGACATATTTTGACAAAAGACGGAGGCGACAAATTCTGGCAAAAGATGGACCCGACGAACTTCGGCCAAAGAAGATATCGACCAACTCCGACGAACTCCCAACAGAGAAACTTGCGTGACCATCCCCAGGGGACTCTCAACCCGCCTTTTGCCGGCAAACGGAGATTGTCACTATCTACGAAATCTTCCTGCCTTCGAGGCGAATGGTTTTTTTTTAAAAAAAAAAATCGTTAAGTTCTTGTTCTCTAAATCCTTTATAAAAAAGAAAGTGGCAACGATTGTTGGATTTGTTTATATCTACCAATTATTTATATTAGGTTATGTCAATTTCTTGTATATGAACATAGTACCATTAATGAAGTATATGGTACTCGTTTGTGTATAATTTAGTACCTATCTGTATTAAATACTAATTTTTGCTAAAAGGTTTGACGTTCATTTATACAACTCGTTTTAAAACCATAATGCATGATGGGTGTGAGGGGATGCCACTGTTTGCTAGTGAGTTGTGTCCTGAGAATGAAAAAAGAAAAAGTTTGCATCTAACTATAGTGTTTTTCGAGTTTAAAATCATCAAGCGAGTGAATGAAGGTTTCAGTTTCTTGATACCGACAAAAGTTGTGTCATTGACTTGCATGCCCGTTGAAGTGAATAAGATTTCACTCGGGCTCCAACAAGTAAGTATATGCGTGTATTGAGTATAAGTCAATGTTCGTCTATGTTCGCCATGGACTTGCATGCCCTACTGTGTTTTGTCCATGTGTCTTTTGTAAGCATATGTTTATGTTTATGATGTTAGAATATCTTTTTTGATGGCATATTACCAACATATTTTGAGTATTGAATAAATATTATGTAAGTATTGTTATAGTACATACTGTTGTAAATATTTTTCCGGAGTAGAATGAAAGATTCGAACACCAAGTCGTGTCTCTCGAGGAAGGTCAGTCGGATTATTATGCACGTTTATTCAAACATAAATCAAAGAAATAAAATTTATAAAACATACTAATTCAGAGATTGGGTTTTGATTATTAATTAACAACTACGAATATAAAAACACAAATTCAGAAAGCAGAGTAAAATCAATCAATCAACTAGAATAAGGTAGCTAGGGAATCGGGGATAATAATCTTTACTCAATATGCGATTATCGGGCAAGCAATCGTTCGGTTAAATGATTTGAATAACCTGCTCGTTCAAGTACTCATCCTCAATAACTCTTTGTAACAAGAGAACAAACTTGAACAACAAATCAACAAGTCATTTAACACCTAGGCAATACAGTTACGAACAAGCCTAACTTGTACGAGCCTATTTCGACCGACTCCTCTCCTTTCGGTTCTAAGAGTCGATTAAGATAGACTAGAGGGTGATTAACCGACTAATCAATTAGAATACCCAACATCATACAAGAACAAATCGAATTCAATTAAAAATCAATTGGAAGTTGAAGTGTCACCCTTCAACAATCCTCAATATTCAAGTACGACAATTTCAAAACCCTTTTTAAAAGATCAACTCGCATAAGAAGAACGATCAACGAACACGACAATTACAATCGAAATCAAATCACTAATCTCCTATCCCTAGCTTAATGATTTAGCCACTCATAATCAAATTATCAACACCAATCACTATAATCAAAGCATACACATCCATGGGTTAAATGAATAGAAATACTTACGATTAAATTGAAATTGAATGTTGAATCTGAAATACGAGATTAATCCGAAAGCGATAAAGAAATCCGAGTTTAAATCCGAATTCTAGATGAAAAGTTCTGAAGAAGAATAGAAAAAACGAGAGAAAGAAGAGAGGGGTAGGGTTTTCTCGTTTCTGGAATGAGAGATGGTGTCGCGGTGAAGACTCGATCTCATATATATAATCGGGCGTGAGCAACGGCATGGAGGATCGGGCGCGGCACGAGGTGTGCATCTGCAGCGGCGCGGGACTGCTGCACGGCTTGGAGAGAGGTCTGGCCGCGGCGCGGCGCAGCGCTTCATCACGGTGCAGGGCTAGAATGCCTGGGAGCCTTTGTCCGTGTCGTGGCGTGGCCGCGGCGTGGAAGGGTCCTTCACCGCGGCGCGGGGCATAGGACACGGCGCGGCAGGGGTCTTCATCACTGCGCGGGGCAGGCAACATGGCGTGACGGGCGCGACTGGCACAACGCGAAGGTTCTTCGTGGCACGGCGCGGGCGCGGGGAGGGGTCGGGCAGCCTGCTCGACTTTGATTCTCTGACCCGTTCGAGCTCGTTTGATATCGGAATTTGATTCCGCTTTTTCCTATGTGTCGCCAACGAAACGCTCTATCTAATCAAGTTTAGTCGGTCTAATTATTGTGAAAAATGAATCCTATTGAATCTTCCAAACCTGCACACCAAAGACAAAGAAAAACCGAAAAACGACCGAAAGACACAAGGAAAACCAAAATAGAAGAAACCATGAAATAAACTACAAAACGAACTAAAACCCAACTAAAAGACTTAATATGGGGGAAAAAAAAAGTAAAAAAGACAACGAAAAACGCAACAAAAATGAAACAAACACATACAAAACACAAAGTTGACCCTTGTATGAATTTTACAAATGATATTTAATTTGTATATGCTTTGTAATATGTATAAGTAGTTATTGTTTATTCAACAAAGTTGGGTACTAAATATTATTTCATGATTACTCATAAACGTCGAATCTAGTACAGTTCTTTTGCAATACCAATATTGATTTTCTATATTATAATAAGTAATTATTGACTATTAAATAAAGTTGGCACTAAATATTATTGCATGAGTACTAGTACCAATATCGGTTTACTAAACTTATAATAATGTGCAAGTATATCTTGTTCCTTCAACAAAGTGGGTACTAACTACTATTTCCTGAATACTAGAAAACGTCGAACCTAGTATTGTCCTTTTGCAATACCAGTATTAGTTTTCTAAATTTATAACTGGTACAAGTTATTCTTGTTCGTTCAACAAAGTTGGTATTAAAGCTATTGCATCAGTACTAGTAAACATCAAACCTGGTCTATCTATTTGCAATACTAGCATCGATTTACAAAACTTATAACAAGGTACAAGTAATTCTGGACTAAAAACAACTGAATGAGTATTAAAAAACATTGAACTGGGTATTGTCTATTGGCAACACCAGTATTGGTTTTCTAAAATTATAATAGGCAAAACAATACACTTCATGTCATCATATGATCAAATATATTTGATCTGAATTTCACCACTATATTATAGATTCGACTAATATCAATTCACTTCATTCATGAACAATTAAAATAACAGGGGGGAAATGACGAATTAAAGAATTTCTGTTTAGGAATCCTACCTATGTTTCTTGCTAACAGTACTAAGTGTGTAGTTAATAGTACGTATAAATTAGGATTTAGTATCTACTTTGGTCAACGAACATGAATTTCTTAGTCAACATTTATGAGATCGATACCTACTTCATATTATAATGTTATTCAATCGATAGTATCTATTTTGTGGTATTAAGTACTTATTTTAATAAATTTTGAAAATTATAAAACCACGGTTTTCAACGTTATTTTGTTTACTGAAAATAACTAGTGTTTTGTTTTGAATAAGATAATCAATGTGAGTAATTATGTATGGTACCAAATAGCCATGAACTTACCACACTAATGAACGACACTAAAACACTCATGTCATCATATGATTTGTTGTTTATCATGGTAGATAAACTAGGTGGATAGCTTTGTAAACGAGCTTTGTGCCTATTTTCGTCTTATGGCGGATGGATGATCGTGAAGACGATACTAAAGAAAAATTTTGCACTTTTGGGTTCAAAGGTTTGGAGGTATCAAAGGCCATGATGCAAGGAGGAGCTTCAAACTAGACCAAGTTTTGCATCCTCATGGTCAGACCCTGAGATGGCGGAGGCATGGTATTGATTCCTTATTTTTTGTTATAATTACATTCTGTACGTTTAGTTTTGTGATCAGTTCATTGTGGTTTCAATCCTATGAGAATGTTACCATGACTAAAAGGGTTATGCAATAAAAAATAGTAATGAAAAACAAAAATCTCACACACAAAACCACCAACTATTTGGCGAAAAAATAACCACCAACTATAGTGTGTACTCGTTGAGTCACCCTTTTACTACCACTCAAAAAAATTGTTTCAAATCATATAATTTGACAGCTTCAACAACAAGATTCCGTCATATATCCAATATTCAGTTTTCCTTGGCAAGCATTCATGTGAATCAAGAATAATAGATTCCAATATTCAGTTTTAGTCATGGTAACATACTTGATAGACAAAATCAGTCATGGGTCACTACATAGATTCCACCAGAGCACACAAACATAAGAAATCAGAAAACTAGTATGGCATTTGAATGCTAGGTAGAACCACAAGTACACTTGTACCGACTCCCAAAATCATCGCATCTTGTAGTAACAGCTGAGGATTTGGAAAAACATCAATTCACAATATGCAGAACATCAAAATTGATAAATAAACCAACCAATTCAAATAATCCGAATTTGATACACAAACCAACCAATTCAAATAATCCGGTGTCTAAAGATTCAAACAGACCCATATGTCTTAAACATTACCAATTAAAATAAGTTGAACGATGTTACACTGGTCTATTAAATTATGTCCCTCAACATGATTAAACGTACTGAGTGCATTTACAAACTCATGGACCAAAGTAACAGGACCTCACCACTTGAACACCTCATCAAGTTCTTGATCTCCGAATAGGTGACCTACTACAAAGAACAAGATAAAATGTAAATGAACACATCAGGGAAACAACAACAACAACAACAACAAAAAAAAAAAAAACCATGAATTTGAATAATATGCATCTACCTTCTGTATCTCCCATATTCAGGACTCCTGGGCCTGTCATATGAAGGACCATTGTACCTATCATAAACTGGGCTGCGGGCCCGCCCATAATCAGGACTGGGCCGACTCCTATGGTACCCAGGGCTTGGTGACCTACGGTAAGGACTGTCCCCACGTCTTCCATAACCTCTTCTTGGGCTGTCGCGTAGTCCACCCCTCTCATCATCATCCCTCAAAGCATACTCAACCGAAACAACCCTGTCCAGAATCTTACTGCAAAATTCACAAGACAAAATAACAGCATATAAAGCACCAAAATAAAAGCGATAGATAGGGGTGAAATTTCAGTAAGGCTTCTCATCTCATCTCACCTCATGTTGGTGCTCTCCAAAGCCTTGGTAGCATCTTCCTGATTTTCAAATTGCACAAAAGCAAAGTTCCTACGAATGCGTACATTGAGAACTTTCCCATATGGTTCAAAGTGTCTTTCAATGTCGTGGATCCTCGTACGCACAGGATCAAAGTTTATCACAAAGAGGGTTTTAGTTGGCCTCTGGTTAGCTGCCCGCCCATCACGATGTCTACCACGTTCACCCTGCCAAGATGATCAACACAAACATTTACAGAGTAAAATAAACAGCAAGTAGGTAGATGAATAGACATAACTGTAGCTGATTAAAGCTAAAACCATACAAAAAAAGGACAAATGAAAAAGTTTAGACCCCATGGAAAGTGAACATACCTTGGCCCATTCAACCGACAACCTACGCCTGTCATACCCAAATGGTATATTGTCAAGACCGCGGATGGCATCTTCAGCATCACGCTCATCCTCAAAATAAACAAATGCAAATCCTGATGGTGAAATAACTAGTGTTAGAAACCGGGTAATAAAAATCTAACTTTACTACACCTCGTACTTCATAGTAGTTTCGTCACTAACTTAGGATATATGTTCTCCCAGGGAAGTTTCAAAGAGAAAAAACAGTACAACACCTGCAAATATGAGAAGTTTCTGATGCAAGCAAGGATGTAGAGGCCTTGCATGGGAACTAAAGACAGATGAATAATGATGGAGGCAATTAAAGGCTAGTAGTAGATCATGGTGATAGTTGGGTACTCATTTTGCTACGCATGCTTCACCAATCTCAACAGCACGAGTTCAGTAAATGGGAGATATATGGCATGAAAGAACTCATTGATCGCCTTATGAATAGTGATGGTAGGCATGGCATGATGAACTCGACACACAGAGCTCTTAATCTTTATTGTGGTAGGCATTTCATGATTTGTTCATTGCCATTTCTTGCGAGATGGCAATTGTAAGTCAAAAGGAAAGAGTGAGTGAAAGACATGTAGAACATTTGCATCAGCTTTAGTAGGAGAGCAGATAAGCACGTAGTTTGGTTGCCTTTGCATTAGAGATTTTTATTGCAGAGAAGATGGCAAGCCAATATAGAAGCTCATTTTTCCCTAGAAGATGTTCCTGCGTCAAAACAAAGGCTTAAATATGGGACCTCACCTGATAAATATCCACGCTTCCTTCCATTTATTTTCAAGGAGACAACTTTCACTCATTCTTCCTTATTGAAGGATGAACCCAACAATGACATGTGTGCGTGTGTGTATAATAGATAAAAACATACCAAAATCATTAATGTTGTCACACACACACGCACACACATATATATGTATGTATGAAAGCAGCCATTATTTTATGTTTTGAAGTTTATTACATAGCTGAATTCATGTATGACTTACTACCAACATGTTCGAATGGTATGCCTCTTATAACCAGGCAAATCAAGTATTGCCAACAAAGAATTGGCACCAACTGAGATGGAAAGTCCTCACATGGCCGATCACTCAACCAATAACCAAAAGAAATCAATTCAAACGCCTTTTTCCAGTAGTCTATTATTACAAGAAGACTTACACGGAAACCAAATTACAAATCAGCAATAACATACTAAGACCTTAATGTGCTCCGAATTAATTCAACCAACGCAAGTAGCCCTGTAAAATGACGCCTGTTTTCAAACTATCCAAATATTTGGAGCAATCAAGGCCGATTTTAAAACTATCCAAATAACTGATATAGCCACAAACAAATTGAAGTACAGAGAGGACAAGAAAATACACAATCACTATGAAGAAGAGAAAAAAAAAAATTAAAAAAAAAAATCGTACCCGATTTCATGTCAACACGATCAACTCTCCCGTATTTGGAGAACAATCGCTCCAAGTCCGACTGTCGAGTTTCGTACTCGAAATTTCCGCAGAAAATTGGTCTCATTTTCTTGGCTCGAGTATGATACTACCTACAACACGAAAAGAAATCACTTGTGCATACACCAAGCCCTATATAGGAATCGAGACAGGAAAGAACAAACTAGGCTGCGGAAATTTACCTTGAAAATTGGATAACGAACAGATGGGGATGGCAACTTGTGAATTCGGTTTCGCAGTTGTCGGAGCATTATGTAGTGGGAACCCTAGATTCCCAGTTAACATGGGCCAATGTCGAAAAAGGCCCATGGGCCAGGGACCCATGTCTAGTGCGTGACCCAAATGGGAAATTTACACATATATATTCTCTATAATAAAAAATTGCAGATATACGTTGCATGTAAACTTTTGTTCAAAATAGGATTCTGATGCGATTTTTATTATATTTACTAGTTGTTTGCACGGCCGACTCAAATTTAATCTCAAATCTAGTCAAAATTTGTTTTCCCTTGGAATGATCATTAGAAATTATATATATATTTGTAAACATTGTTATTAAATTTGATACAAATGAAGTTTATTGAATGAATTTTGACAAAGTTTGACTGGATGACATCTCTCAACAGTAAATAGGAAGAACCCACCGCATGGTCGGGTGGTGAAGAAAACCACTCATCCCCATGTTGCGATACACGTCCGCGCACAACACTTGAAATGACATGAATAATTTCATAGCATCACTGTAAAATTATCAAGATTACAAAATAGCATCATCAATCCTTGTTAAAGCCAGCAGCTACCAATACTTTTGCTGCTATCATTTGAAGTGCCTAAACGCGATCTAAAGCGCCCTTCTTATGCAGTGTATACTGAACTTAAACATCTTTTCAATTTATGCATATTGCTCATGGAGTAGTTGTGACCTTTTTTCCATAACAACTTCGAATTCATATTTATTCAAACATCTTTTCAATTTATGCGTTCCATCACCATCATAGGTTATTCTTTTCTTGTCCTTGGGTCTTCCTCGGGCTCATAAAGATTTTGTATTGCTGCAAAATTTCATAGTTATGTGTACATAGGCCCCATCCAAAGTCAAATGTGTTCTGCAGAGGCAACCTTATATTGTGTTTAATCCATCCCAAATATTTGGGCAACTTGAAAAATCTGACAGACCTGTAAGCGGGTTTGTGCATATTACAACTTTAATTGTCTGAGACTAATAACGTGCTCTATTTATATTTTCATAGTGACAGCTACTTACAGGGAAGCAACCTCAATGGGATCATTCTAGCTGACTTTTATCGCCTGAAGTTTTAGCCTGGCATAAACATATAAAGCCTGAATCACAATGCCGAAATAGGAACTAAATAAAAAAAAAAGGTCTACTCATATGAACTCTTAATTCATCCTGAATTCATCCTCATGAAAGTGAGAAACCAATCAAATAAAACTTTACAGGATAAAAAGAACAAAACAAAATTTATCGAAACTAAAAAATAGAACTAAGAAATTGAGAGCAACAAAAAACAGAGAGAGTTGAAAACAAAATTCCTTACATGTTAAGAATTTTTTCGATTTGGGTAATCCCTGTGGTGCATAATGTGGAAACCTATAAAAATGTAGTCCTAACCAAGTTTAGAGTAAAATATAAACTCAAAGGGAAGAGAAAATGAGTTACATTAAAATTCTCAACTGAAATAGTTAACACGTTGGTCTTAACTGGTATTATCTCAACCTTAAATTTTCTTGAAGCAGTGGCTGCAGCATGTTTTCTGTGTGACTCAATGACTGTTATTTTGTAAATAAGCACTCATAACTTTCGTCCAAACCAAACACATGAGTGCACATCAAATGCTCAAAAACTTGATAGGCTACAGAACAATACCTAAACCAAATACATGAGTGCACAATAAATGCTCAAAACATGATAGGCTGCAGAACAATACCTAAACCTGTTACACCTTTATAACACCGAGAAGAATAGGTGTTGGTAAAACTATCAGCAATATTTTGCATTGTACACTCCAGACGGCGACCTGAAACACTAGCACAAAGTCAAAGGACAATTAGTGTTAAACAAAAGAGAATAGGTAAATATATTCTTGAATTAAGTGAAGTCATAATAATTCTCTATATGGAGATTAACTGTATAAAAGAAATGTATCTTGCGTACCACATGTTGTATCAGCCATCCTTTACTTATTGGAGCCATGATAATAATTAAAACAAGGAATTTGATCAACTAACAAGTGAATATCCAGAGTCTCACTTAACTTATAGCCCTGCATTTTTATTTATTTTTTAAATCTCTCAACATCTTCTAACTTAATCATTACAGTAACTTATGTAATCGCCACTTATAAAGTATTCTAACCCTAATATTGAACCGGAATATTATATTTAGTAAATATCATCCCTCTTTTAACCCACACGTAATACAAATTGCTGAGAAACTTCTCGTCTCCTCTATTCCTCAAAATGGATATCACTTGGAAACCTTTTCATCCTACCTTATTCTTTGCTACTTTTCAGCGCCATTACTATCTTAACTTCTTCTGATCGTAATGAGAATGAACATAAGGAAGAAGTGCAAAATATTGCTCATAATTCACCCAGCCATGTCCCAAACCTCAAAATTCACTTTCGGGTGAAACAAAATTTCAAGTTCAAAAAAACCTTACATCCATTCACCCCCGCATAAAAGTTTTTCAACAATTCACAAGTTCAAGCCTTCCCAAATAAACCTCCATATCTCGAAATAAAGCCAATTTAATTCAGAAAAGCAGAACAGTAATCGCACAATATAAGCAAGCATCTGTCGCTAACACACACGTCACAGAAACTCCCATACTCAACCAAGTAAAAAGAGGTCAGTAAAAACAAAGTAGCAAGAAACACACACCAGAACATATTTTTTAAGTACTTACTAAGCAAATAGCACATGCCTAGTGCTCAACCTCCAAATGACTCCTCTTGCATGTCTCAATGCATCACTGTTAGAAGGAGAAGCACGCACACAGTCACCAAATCTACTCCAAATGTCAATGCCGTCCAAATTCATGTCTCCTTTCAAACGCTAATGGTAAGATTATTCTACCAATAAGTCTATATTATTTGTACTCACTAAATATGAACATCTAGATGGTTGGACATGCATCACACATATTATTATAGAAACTTAATTTTAAAGAAATAACTGTTGTGGCTGCTGATAATTTGCATATCCTAGCCTTTATAATACATGTTGGGGCCTTGAGGTGGCATATGCCAACCCTTCCCTTCATACCCCCGTGTATGTCCACCATAATATCCTCCACCGCGCCACTGGTTTTGATCCGATTGAGACTACATGACAAAATAAAGAATTATACTTATGACGGCCAGTAGAGTCGATACAAACTAACATCAGAGAGATACTCATAATTTTGAATAGCCATTGATGCTTTGATAGCAACACAAAATTAAACTAATCTACCGTTTTTTTGTTTGTTTGTTTGTTTTTTTTTTTCAGAAATCATTAAATTCCCAACCTGCTTGTTTAAAGGCCTGCGACCGCACAAGAGTTGGATGCTCTGCGCTTCTAGCATGGTACATTTAAGTTGGACAAAGATTGCTCAGCACAGGACCTTCATCAAACATGCAAAAGATATGTGAGACTAAAAAATCTATCTGATTTTCACAAAAATTAATTACCAGTTTTTACCTGTCAACAAACTGAACAAACCCACAACGCTTGCATGTAGGTATCTTTATCTTAACATGTAATACATCACCGTACTGGACGATAACCTGTTTCAAATAGTCATCCCACACTGGGATCAGGACGGCCAAAAAGTATTTGCACTTGCATCATTGGGGGGTTAAAACAAGCATACAAACGAAAAAGTAGGACATACAATCAAACACTACGAAAAATTATACGTTGTTGGATGGCAAAGGGACTACTGAATTAGTGGTTCCTTTGTTTTATCTTCTTCTTCTTCCTCTGCATAACAAAATAAATTAAAATTTTGAAATTAAAATAATGAAATGAAAGAGAATATATTCCATGTGAAGTGAAATTTAATGACGGCCTGAGATGAAGTGTGACCACCCTGCTTCAGAGCAGAGAAGATCTTTTAGAGAAGATCATTCTATTAGGTAGAGAATAATTTGGAGATAATGACTAGATTATTATTGGTGATAGTAGCATGACAGGTTCATTTGGCATTTTACCGCTACTGACAGGGTTTGCTCTTCAAAACTAACTCTGATTTGACCGCTTATCCCTTTCTTCTTCAGATGACCACAGAGCTATTAGAAAGAATTGTCAACTAGTCAATGGTGAACCAACTAATGTCAACACGAAAGTTATACACAGAAGAGGCCCTACTACCATGTTAGCTTGCGCTTCAGAAGGATAGCATTCCTCTGGAACTTGCTCCATCTCAAATGTACAGCTTTCTCACATGCGTAAGATAAAACAAAGTAATCAGAACATACTTCAAGGAGCAAAGCAATAAAAGCAACCATAGAGAACCTTGAATTCACAATTTCGTAGCTCTAAAAAAGAACCGTAACACCAAATCGATCCCAAAGTACTCACATTCTGTCAACCCGAAGCCCTCGAATTCTCCGGCAAGACCTCCATATCCGGCGCCGATACATCCGAGATACACGTCTTTATCAGCTTTGATGTCGCGCTTTTCTTTGAGGCTAAAGAGTTTTCTGTATGAACAACCGCGGGGAGAGTGGAAGAATAGGAAAAGAAGAGAAAGGCAGGCTAACTGTTTGAGAAAGAAAAAAGAAAAGCTTACATAAACAAAATTATTGCTGCAGATTTTATGCGAGATCTCTTATCTTCCTCTTTACCATTAGAGGTGTGGTGTGTGGATGTTGTGTGATGAAGTAGCGTGCGGAAGTGAACAAAAAATTTCGGATAGGAAGGTACTGAGAAGGATATTGTTGAACAGAAAATCTGGAAAAGGAATGGNTTTTTTTTTTTTATTTACTAGTGACCATAGTTAGGAACCATGGTTATCAAATTAGATCTAAAATCAGATTCACATCAGATCTAAAATCAGAATCCATCGCCAAAATCAGAGAAACATCAGTTCATCGAGAGATTCAGCCCCGATTCACATAGATCCGTCGCGAGAGAACATAATTCATCTCGAGATTCAACCCCGATTCATAGATTCGTCGCGAGAGAACAGAATCCATCGCCCGCATTTGGGAAAATTCTTAACTCCGTCGCGAGAGAACAGAATCCATCGCCCGAAATTCTTAACCATTTCATCGGCCGATTTCACAGGTAAAAGAGTTAGGGTTCTTTTATTTTGGGAATCAGTTTTGTGAATTTGGGGAATTAGGGTTAATTATTAGCTAGTTTATGAGGCTTGCACAAGCTGCAGTTGATTTTTGTTGTCATAGCTTTCTGCTGAATTCATAAACACAAACTAAGATGATATTTGCCTGTGCTGGTTTACGAGGCTTGTGATGGCCTTTCCATTGAATTCGTAAAAACAACTTAAGATTGTATTTGCCTGAGCAAAGATTGAGATAGCATTCTGCTGCCTATCGTATATGATTACTGTTATATGCTTAAGATGGTATATAAAGGGCTTTTGGAGTTGTATTTCTTAGGCTTGAAGAAAGTCGGGCTCTTTGGTTGGATGGGTTAGGAAGCCCGATGTGTTACTCTGTTTTTCTTCCTTTTTGATTTGCAGAATTAGGGTTTCTCTTAAATTTATTCTAATATAATGTGCTGCTTATGGAAATTCGATTTTTTCAGTTTTTGGGTGATTCAAATATCAACACTAAGATTTTTTCTTACTTGTTCTATTCATTGAATTTGGTTTTGGGTATCGAGTTGTTGCCTGAATAATAACATTCCAAATTCAAAATTTATTAGTATGAAAATTCTACTATCCTACCAAAATCATTCTTTCTAGTGTGTGTGTGTGTGTAAGTGTGTTTTCTCTTTTCCTATGCCTATCTAAAAGTGAGACCGCTATTTTCCCAAACAAGCCGTTGGGCAAAAGAGAAGGAGCAAATGATTGCTTTTTACTCACAATTCGTTGGGGGTGTTTTTCTTTGGCTTCAATTCTCTGAGATCTAAAGTGGGGTATGGCTATTTTTCTATGGACATTTTCTTGCTCTGTAAAAATCTAGACATTATACCAGTCATACTTTTTGGGTAGTAATTACTTTTTTTTTTCATATATGGCTAAATTTTGAAGGCAGCACTTATTACTGCTACTGGCACTGTAATTCTTGGCAATAGGCAAGGGCACTTGTAGAGTAGTGAAAATAAATTTGGTTCTGTAATTCTTGGCAATAGGCAAGGGCACTTATGTTGCTTGAATAATAACATTCCAAATTCAAACTTAATTTTTTTGAAGGTTTGAAAATGTCACAGACTTCAACCACTAAGAAATTTGGAAAATTTGGAAGACCAAGTAGACTGAAGTATGAAGATCAAATATGTGACAAATGTGGAATGAAACTTGCAGTTAGGATTGCTGGCTCCCTAAGTCCAAATTTTCAGAAACTCTATTACTCTTGTGAGAGAGATGGTGGATTTATGGGTTGGGCTAATTCAATAAATGAAGACGAAGTAAGCATAAGGGAAGAAGTTAGCACAAGCGAGAAAACTATAGTGGATCGTGAGAGCTACAAAGATGTGAAAATAAAAAAAAAAAAACTCGATAAGATTTTTGATTTATTACTTGTGTTATTTCTAGTAGTAATTGTAATTCTTGTTATTATTGTAATGAAATAAAAAAAGTTGGTATTTTTACTACTTGGACATGAATAACTATTTTGTGATATGAAGAAAATGAATAATTTTTTTTTTTATTGTTCCATTTATTTTATTTTTGTTTTATTATCTTGGATGACTTGACCATTTGCAATGCCATTGGGTACTATTATCTTGGATGACTTAACCACCACTAAACCAAACTGCAGTAACCTTTTGTTTTTCATTGGTTACTATTATCTTGGATGGCTTGACCACTTGCAATACCATCTCTACAGCTTTACTACCACCAATGAAATTTGGATGGGAAGTGTTTATGTAATCCATCTACAGAACAGAAAATCGAGCAACATATAATATATCCAAATGAATGCAAAGCCAACTAAAAGTCATTTATATAAGTACTATTAACTTAATTTTCGAATACAATATTCGCTTCTCGAATCCACTTGAGAATACTTTCTTTCTAGGAAAGACTCTTCCAAATAGATTTCCCTCTAACAACACTATTACACCACAATAAAGAGTCATCTAAAAATAGATGAGAAAGTGCATTTGCTAACATCCGATCACCATCATCTTCAATTATCGGAGGGTCCCTACAAAAAATAGATTTAAATGGTAAATATTATAACATTATTCAATATTAATTTAAAAAACAATAGATTTGGTGTGATGTACCTGTGATGAAAAGGGATCCACTTGATAACAAAAAAGATTAAATGGACCTATATTGATGTTTCCATCTCCTCCCTACACATTAAAAAATAAATAAATATAAAAGTATTAATTTTATTGATATTCTTGTAGAACAAAGTAATAAAAGCATCATTTACCTCTTGATTTATGTTAGTCCAAAACATCGGAGCATGAGGTGGATATTGAGTCGGGCCACCTAAATAGATGTTTCCACTTCCTCCCTACATATTAAAATAAAATAAATAAATTCATAATATTCTTGTGGAACATTGAAGTTGAAGTTTTTACCGGAGTAGAATCAAATGATTCGAACACCGGGTCGTGTTCTCAAGGAAGGTTAGCCGGATACAATCGCACAATATTCAATCTCACGGAAATGTAAATTACACCTAAACACTCTAATCCAAATTTTCAAGGGTTTTTGATATTGACGAGAAAAATAACTACTAACGAGATTAACACTAAAAACGCAAATGGACAATTTAAACACAAGTACGGTTCAACGATGACGAACGAGCTAGGGTATCGGGGATAATCGTCTCCGGTTCGATCTCACTTCAATAACATATAGATACTCGGTCAAAAGCCTCGACTCATATACTCATTTAACATTATAATCATCATAGCATTTCGCGGTAGATAAAATTACACATAAACGAGCAATCAACCTCAACAAATAACACATAGACAACACGTTTCCGGTTATGCCTACTCTAAACGAGCCAAATTCCACCGACTTCTCCCCTCTCGGTTTTGAAGTCGATTAACTCGATTGCAATGGTGATCAAGCATTCAATCATTATTATTAATAAAACTCGAAAAGATTGAGTACACTACAAACATATCAACGAGATTAAACCGGAACAATTATCCCCTTCCCCTAGCAATTAACTTAGCTACTCATGGCAAGATAAACACAAGAATTCAACATACCACAAGCATTCATTCTCATAGCAAAAAATGAAAGGAAAAACTTACTAGGAATTTGAATTCAATGTCTTACACTTCAAACCAAATCAATGCCAACAAGTCTCCAAGTTTGTCTCCTCAAAAATACATGAAAATCTCCAAGGAAAATTACAATGAACCAAACAAAATGTAGAGAGAAGTTAGAGAGAAGGT